ACAGGGCAGGGAGGAGGACACTACAGTCCTACATGAGGCTTGTATTGTCTTAAATTAGATTCAAAACTCACAAGAAACCCTGCTGCTTAAGAGAGAAGGGAAGGAAAAGACGCAGGAACAGGAGGAGCAAGGTAAGGAGGCTGTGTTTTCCGTGGGATTGGTCCCAAAAGGGTCCCGACCAGAATGGTTCCAGGCATGCCAGCATCTTCCCTTCTATCACTCAGCAGGGGGGCTGATGGGTTCAGCCCATAATTACAAGTTTTAGAAGGAACTAAGAATGGAGAGTAGAACTGAAAATGGCAATTCAGAACAGAATAATATAGCACGAACTCCCAACATAGCTAAGAATGAGGAAATAAACAAAACTGACTGAAAAGCCAATATAGATCGTCTGTTAAAGTCTACTACAGTTTATGCACTTGCTCAGAGAAGAGACTCAGGTTCTTTGCTGTGTCCGCTTAGGTTTTGTTTGTTTGCTTGCTTGTTTGTTTGTTTTTTGTTTTTTGTTTTTAGACGGAGTCTCACTCTGTTGCCCAGGCTGGAGTGCAGTGGCGCGATCTCGGCTCACTGCAAGTCCCGCCTCCCGGGTTAACGCCATTCTCCTGCCTCAGCCTCCCAAGTAGCTGAGACTACAGGCGCCCACCACCACGCCCAGCTAATTTTTTGTATTTTTAGCAGAGACAGGGTTTCCCCGTGCTAGCCAGGATGGCCTCGATCTCCTGACCTCGTCATCTGCCTGCCTTGGCCTCCCAAGGTCCTGGGATTACAGGTGTGAGCCACCGCGCCCGGCCCACTTAGCTTTTTTATGCGAAACTCTACCAAGTGCAAAAGTTACATTCCAAGTCCTCAACAGGTTAGAAGCAGGAGAAGGCCAACACAAAACTCCTACAAGGAATAACAGACAGCAGTTTGATATCATGGGATGAAACAGATCATCAAAAATTGAAAACCTAATACACATTCAATAACTTCTATGACATCATTAAATCGAATAAATTATTGTGAAAGAATTTCTCCATTTATTCATTCATTTATATATTTAAGAATAATTATTCAGCATCTAGGATGTGTAAGGAAGTAGACTGGTTATTGAGATACAACTGTGAATAAGACAAAGTTCCTGTTCATAAGAAGGGCTTAATCCAAATGAGGTTACAGATTATTTTAATACAATACACTCAGTTACTATAGAACGACAGAGTAAGACAGAGAATGCTATAGTGCCACAGAGAAAGGGAATAAAATCCTCTAGAGGAAGCTCAGGAGAGGCTTTCGGAGAAACTAGGATCCACACCAGAGCCTGAGGGATAATTAGGAATTAGCAGGAAAAGTAGAAGCAGGAAAGAGAACTTTTTTCGCCTTAGAGATGGGTTATCATTCTGTTACCCAAGCTTATACAGTACAGTGGCACATTCATAGCTCACTGCAGCCTTGAAATTCTGGTCTAAATCAATCCTCCCTCTCCAGCCTTCTGAGTAGCTAGGACCCAGGCGTGTACCAGGTTTTTTCTGTTTTTGTTTGAGGCTAGAATTTGGAGACCAACCTGGGTCTCTATGTTACCCAGGCTGGTCTCCAACTCCTGGCCTCAAGGAATCTTCCTGCTTCAGCCTCCCTAGTAGCTGGAATCTTTTAGCTCCATCACTTCCAAGCTGGGTGTGACCTTGAGTGTACCAATTAATCTCTCCAGCCTTCTATTTGACATCTTACAAAATGAGGATAATAATGTGTACTCTGCAGAAACGTGAGCCCTTGAAATACTACATGTCAAGAACCTAGCTCAAAGCCTGGGTATAAAAGATGATCAAAAATTGTCATAGTTGGCTGGGCGTGGTGGCTCACGCATGTTATCCTAGCACTTTGGGAGGCCAAGGTGGGCGGATCACCTGAGGTCAGGAGTATAAGACCAGCCTGGCCAACATGGTGAAACTAAAAAATACAAAAATTAGCCAAGCATGGTGGCAGGTGCCTGTAATCCCAGCTACTCTGGAGGCTGAGTCAAGGAGAATTGCCTGAACCTGGGAGGCAGAGGTTGCAGTGGACCAAGATCACGCCACTGTGCTCCAACCTGGGCAACAGAGCGAGACTCCATCTCAAAAATAAATAAATAAAATGGTCATAGTTGTGATTATTTTGTTAACTTCACAGTAGCCAGCTAAACTCCTGAAACCAACCCCCAAAATGTTGATTAACAGTTGACAGAGAATGCTGGTGTGCTGCCATGGCACTTGTTATCCCTGTTTTATTCAAATGTTTCTCAATCACTTGAGACATAGCCCAAATGATTATTTAATTTCTAGATAATATAACACTAGACCGGATGACTAAAACACTTCAGTAGTCCCCAACAACACTGGGACGAAAACCAACAGGATGAAATTTGATGTCAGCAAAAGGAAGGACCTGTGTTGGATTTCCTTGACATTGCACTTGACACAGGACAAGCAATGATAGCATCTAAAGGACTCTCTTGTTTGTGAGTTTGGTGTGAGCTAACAGTGTGTGAGTGTCTATAACACATGCGAATTTAGTTTGCCTGACAAGGTTAGAAGTACCCTGAATTTAAAAACATAGAAGAATTATGTGGCCAGCCCCAGTTACAATAAGGAGACAAGGCAGCTCTCTCTTCAGTAGAGTACCATTACATGTCTCAGAGACCCCTATGGCGTGGTAGTGGGAACATGCAGACTTGAATTAGATTGCTATCAATCCAATATTAAACTACTAACATGTCTATTTCTAACAGCCTCAGGGAATAGGTGTTACAAACCATCACAAAAACTCATTTGGTTTCTTTTTATAAACACGTGGGAGCAACCCTAATAATAAAACTGCACAAAAGAACCAAAGGAACAAAACGCAAGAAGGAGGAAAAGGTCAGCGTTACAATGATGTTGATTGCAATGACCTGGTCATATTTGCTTCTGAAGCACCAGGTTCTCTAGGTCATTTAAAGGAAACTAATTAATCGCTTCTGATATTTTCTTTCATCTCCAAATCATGTCTTTTTTTTTTTTTTTTTTTTTTTTTTTTAGGTTTTTGGCTACACATTGCCACTGGGTGGAGCTCAAAGTCCACAAAAGCATCTTGGAACCAGCAAGTAAATAAAAAGCAGCCAGCCATGGACTCATTTTCAGACACATAACATTTAAAATATTTTTTTCTCTTGTGTTGATACGTGAAGAAGCACAAACACTGAATGAAAGGAAGTGGCCATCTTTTAGAAAGAAAGAAAGCATCTCTGCAAGTAAAAAAAAAAAAAAAAAAAGAACAGCCAGCTCAGAAAGAGATTGCTGAAGTGGTTTTCAGAGATCAATAATGTGCAATATCCTTTAGCTCAGAGTGAGATTGGAGGCTTACGATCATAACGAATTGAAGTCCTTGCATAGAGAGTTTGTTTTGCTTTATTTTTTTAATCACCTTTTTTTTAATTGCACAGAGGCACTGGCAGCTTAGCAGCTTTATTTTGCATATGTACACTGTGTGAATGTGTGCATATTATGAGTATAGGTTAAATGCATTCCTGTAAGAAGGCCCAGAGGCTGCTGCGGGGCCAGACAGTCCATCTGCTCCTGCAACCATCCCCTTGGGAAAATAAAACATGAAATGCCACTAAGAAAACCGATTATCACACTGTTTTAGATAAGGCAACTTGCACTTTCCCCCTTTGTCAAGCCCCTGAAAGGAAGAGTTGCAAACCAGAAGAGAAAATAATAATGAGCTTTTCATTACCTCCAGAACATGAACTGAAAGGTTCTTTGACAGAGAGGAGGGAAATCGGATGTGTCTCAACTGGCTCCAGTTATATTAGCATTTTTCTTTTGTAGCTATATTAGCATTTTTCCAATTTCCAGTTTTCTTTTCTTGTGCTGATAGTACATGTTTAACAAAATTTAATTGAGTTATAACAAAATAGCTAACACTAAAGCAGTATTTATGATATGTGAATGCTGAGTATTTTATATCCTCACCCCTTTTAATACAACAGCCCTTTGAGTGAGAGGGAGGTATTATTATAATCTCCGCTTTGCAGGTATGGAAAAAAAGCCTCAGCAAAGTTAAGTAACTTGTGCAATGATACACAGCTAGGAAATGGCAATACCTACCTCAGATGCCTTTCTGCACCAAAACTCATTCTCTTCCTCTCCCATCAGCACATTCCACTGAAATCTCAGGATGTCCTAGTTAAAAACAAACTCAGTCAGAGAGAAGATATCCCGGTTATGACCTACCTTGCTCCCGCCCCATTACCTCCTAGGTACCACCCAGCAGCATTACGATCTGGGGAACAAGGGAGGCAATGCTCTAGCTTCCCAAGGGGAGGTTTCACCCAAAATAGGCTTAGCATCCCCTCTCCTCTCAGCAGAGAAGCTCAGCCAAATGTCTGGATTCTACCATGGCTCTCCAATTTCATCCCTTGGCAGTCACTGAAGAGCACCTCAAATCTTACCACCTGTGAGAGCTCAGGCAGGTGACTTAAATTCCCTTGTGTTTTTAAACCTGTGAAATACAAATAATAATACCTTCCTCACAGGTTTCTATGGGAATTAAATGAGTTAAAGTATATAACGCTTTTGATAGTGTCTGGCACTCTCTGCAAGCTAACACATTGACCATTATCATTATCAATGATGCAATATTGTCAGCTTTGCACCCCACCCTTTTTTTTCTTTTACAACATAATGAGTTTATATTTAATATAATATTTCTCATCAGAAGGATATTACTCAGTTGACATAAAGTTTTTTTTAACATTAAATCTTTTCCATGTCAATGTCTATAGTTTTTTTTACATTAAATCTTTCCTGAATTTCAGTATCACACTGAATACATTTTTCTAAATGTTTCTTCCCCAGAGATAAAAGTTTCCCTTTTTGACTATTTGATATCTAAATACAATATTAACTTGGGAGATAACAAAACAAAAATCAAATAAAAATATGGAGAAAAGACTCCTCAATGATTCAAGAAGTGGTGATTATAACTGAATACTGGTGATTTTCTAGGATTCTGGGCAAGAACTTCCTTCTTCCTATTTCATATGCTTTGAGAATTTTAAAACTATGAAATATTACTTATATAAATTTCAACATCTTACTTCCTTGACCTCCTTTCTAACCAGCAAATACAAATCATAGGCTGCGTTTTTCTGTGCATTATTTGTTGTAAAGAAAATTTTTTTTGTTTTTCCCATTTCATGGAAACAATGAAAAATATAAAACTCCCCTATTTGCTGATTCTTCCTGGAAACTTTCACGAAAGTTCAGGTTTAGCCTCAATAGCACAAAGCCTTTCCCGGTGAGGCATGATTCAGTAGGCCCTTCAAAGTCACATCTGTCCATTTCTCTTTCGTGCATATACCCCCAAGCAAGCAAGAATGCCTGTAACGCTGAGAACCACACCTAACAAGAGAGCGACTGCATCACAGGCTTCTACTGCTTCACACAGGCAGCACCAAAATAGTGACATGAGGACTAAGTCAGCTGTGTTGAAACTCAGGTCATGATGTTGGAATCTTGAGGGCTGAAGGTTCCAAAGAAATGGTATATATAGAATTCTATCTGACTTGAAATTTTTCCCTCCTGGAGCTCTAGATGCTGAGACTAAGAGGTTCCTTGTGACACTGCCTTCCAGGAGGCAGCCATTACAGGAACCCATTTTGCACCCCCTTTTGTAATCACAACCTCCTTATCTCCCCCCATCTCCACACATGACCAGTCTGCCTTGAAAGTATCCTCACCTCCAAGTCCTTCCCCTCCAATGAACCTTGCTCCTGGGGACAGACTACTGCTACTTAAGCGCCACTAGGATTATGATACTCTCCATGCTTAAAAAAATGAGGCCAGAGTGGTGCCTCATGCCTGTAATACCAGCACTTTGGGAGGCCGAGGTGGGTAGATTACCAGAGGTCAGGAGGTCGAGACCAGCATGGCCAAAATGGCGAAACCCTGTATCTACTAAAAATACAAAAAAAAAAAATTAACTGGGTGTGGTGGTGGGCTCCTGTAATCTCAGCTACTCAGGAGGCTGAGGCTAGGAGAATCACTTAAACCAGGGAGGCAGAGGTTGCAATGAGTGGGGATCACACCACTGTACTCCAGCCTGGGCAACAGAACAAGACTCTGTCTTAAATAAATAAATAAATAAATAAATCATGGCTAGATACTGACAATTATCTAAAAGCTAAAAGTTCTAGATCCTTAGTCCAGTATCCAGTGCTTTCCACAGTCTGCTCCTAACCTATCTTTTTTTTTTTTTTTTTTTTGGAAATTATTTTATTTCTTCCATGATGATTTAGAGGGACTATCTTCAAACCAGCACAAACATTTCATAAATAATACCTGGCCAATTTCTAACCAATTGAGTAATTTGTTGCCACCTCATATCTTTCAGCAAGAAATATATTAAATTTGAATAGTAAAGACATTACACAATGAATTAGGACAGAATTAAAATTTGCTTTAAATATTTATTTGGGGAAAGATACACCACACTTCTCTACTCAATGAAGAGAAACATTTTTACAGTCCAGAGGTCTTTTATTTTTCTTAACCCCTATTACGCCATGAATCCATAGGGAACAGCTTCCAGCAGCTCAGGCTCCTTCCCATTGGTTCTCACAAAGTGTGCTTCTCTTGGTGGAACAGGCTGGCGCTTCAGTTGAACCCAGGTACCTTTCTCTTTGGCTTCCTTCTTTTTCTGATCATTTTCCTTCACGCATTTCAGGAAGCTATTTCAGTTCTTAGAGTGCTTAATGTGCTCAATATGCACAGTAATTCTCTTGGCAAGAATCTTGCCCTTAACTTGTGTGTTTACAGCAATGCTAACAGCATGCCGAGCAACACTGTAAACTCTTCCAGCTTTGGGAACACTTGTGGGGCATTTCTCCCAACCTATCTTTCCAGGCTTTTCCCCAACTTCTCCCAGGTCTTGCTTTATTCCAGTCTTCCTGCATAACCATTCCATGCCCTTCTGCATACCATTCCACTTGTCTGTATGTCCACCTCCATCTGTCAAAAGTTGACTTATCACTTCAGACATAGGTCATATTTTCCTTTCCCTCAGCCTGAAGTCAGTTTTGAGTAGGAATCTCCACTGCTTTCTTTTTTGACCACTCATTTATTTCTCTGTACTTATTCACTCGTTTTGTTATTCTACCCTTGTTTTTATGTCCTTTTCCTCAGGTAGATTATAAGCAGATTGAAGGCAGGGATTGTTGAAAGGTGTATATTAATTTCTGTAGCTAAAGGTCCTGGACTGGCATAAAAGCTCTGAAGGTATTATTCACCAGAGCAAAGCTGGAGAGAACTCCTCCCCCAGCCTAGCAGGTCTTTGTAACTGTAGTCCTGAGGGTGTGGAAGCTTAAGCAGTTTCTCAGAAGCTGAGTGTGAGGTACTCAGCCCTTCTGGATTTCCTGAGGTAGTAAAGTATCATGGGTGTTGCCAAAAGGAGAAAGTAGAAGCCAGACTGGCACCAAGCACCGCCAGGTCAATTTTTCCTCCAGGCTCTGGTCAACAAAATACCCCAACAACTTCTTTTTTTGTTTGTTTTTGTTTTTTTAGACAGCATCTCACTTTGTCACCCAGGCTTGAGTGCAGTGGTGTGAACATGGGTCATTGTAGCCTCGACCTCCTGGGCTCAAGTGATCCTCCCACCTCAGCCCCAAGAGTAGCTGGGACTATAGGTGTTCACCACCAGCCCAGTTAATTTTTGTATTTTTTGTAGAAATAAGGTTTCTCCCTGTTGCCCAGGCTGGTCTCAAACTCCTAGGCTCAAGTAATCCACATACCTCAACCTCCCAAAGTGCTGGGATTACAGGCGTGAGCCACCATGCCCTCCTCACTCCAGCCACTTCTAAGGACATAATGGAGACTGCTATTACCAAGAAATGTTAAGAATGATCAACAAAGGACATACAACACATTTGTAAAATAGTTTTAACATTTCTGAATAAGTAGCTATTCTCTAATTAAGCATCAAAAAACTCTGGCCAAAAAGTCTGTGAAATAAATTGTATACTTGCTCCCATCCATGCCTCTCCCCACAAGTTTGACTTTGATCTTCCAAACACGGATCATTGTGAAGAAAACATAGCAAGGGAGCCCCTGTATTGGGATGTTTTTTGATACTTCTTAATGCCTGCACTGGTCAAGTCTGGGCAGGCTATACTGCAATCTCAGTGGCTCAATAGAACAGAGGTTAATTTTTCACTCACATTACGTGTCCATTGCAGGTGGGGAGCCCTGCTGCATGTAGTCCCTTGGGGACCCAAGCTTCTGCAGGCGCTATTAGCTGAACATCCTCAGTGCCTATGGGAGGCAAAGAGAACTCATACCAGCCCTGAAGTGACAAGTCACTTTCGCTCACAGCTCATTGGCCAAAAGTGGTCACATGGTTCTACCTATCTGTAAGAAGGGAAATGTACATGAACCTCTTGGTGAGAGCATTCCTGAATTTATCCAAAACAGCATTTCTCCTCTAATGGATACTGGCATCTATTGCTTCTATAAAAGGTGTAGGAAACTCAATAATGTGCTTACATTTAAGGCAACACATGGAGAGAACAGATAGTCTGAGCAAATGACTTCCATATGTTTAATTCCTGGATCAGGAAATTAAATTCTTTCGGAGCCACACTAACATCTATCTCTCTGACTTAAAACTGTCATCCAGGCTTTCTTCGATACTTCTAAGTAATGGAACGATGATGGCATAGGACTAAGTAGAACACCTTCTCTCTATTTTGAGTAAAGAATACACAGACAATAAACATTTGAATTTGGCCAAGAGAAAGATTAAAGACAACATTTTCACTGTGCTGTAGCTTCATGGAGTTGTTTTTTGTGCTGGTGATTTTTATTGCCTTTGTCCTATGGAAAAGATTGGACACTGAGAAGAACCCCACAACCAACTTCCCTCACATAAAAATGTGAAGTGACATAACAAATGAATCTATCAGGAAATTCCTCTAATTTAAGTGAAGGCAAAACTCCAGGGACTAAAGACAATAATCATCATTGCTTCTTTTTGCTGATGCTCAGTTCAAGATGTTTATTCAAGAGTTAAAGGGAAAAGAAATGCAAAATACAGGATTTTCAGGCAGTGCTTCAAAATTAAGACCTTAGGGAAAGCAATTTCAAAAGCAAAAATAGATGTCACCAGTCCCCATTCTTATTTGAGATCTTATGCCGAATTAAACAGGGTTTTGATAATCATCTGGCACAGCAGTTCTCAATCAGTGACGCATATTAGAAACAACTGTGGAGTTTTAAAGTATACATAAACTTGGGCTCAAGCACTGGGATTCAATTCACTGGATCTAACGTTCAGTACATCTGTCATGTTTAAAGTCTTGGATAAATATATGATTTTTTTTATTAGGAAGCACATATCTAAAGGTAAGACCTCTCTATTCCCTAAAGGAACAGGAAATCCTGCCTTCTATTCTCCAGTTGAATTTGGAATCATTAATGTAGCATCCATTTATCCATCTGGGAAAAATGAGTCAGGCCACCAATTTCCCACCACCACAGAAAGAGTCACTATCAGAGCTGAAATGGCATCAAGGATTTTCTTTCTTTTCTTTTCTTTTTTTATTTATCTATTTATTTATTTATTTATGAAACGGGGTCTCACTCACTCTGTAGCCCAGACTGGAGTGCAGTAGTGTAATCACAGCTCACCCCAACCTCTGCCTCCCTCCTCAGCCTCCTGGGTAGCTGGGACTATAGGCACAAGCCACCATTCTTGTATAACTTTTGTACCTTTGTTTGTAGAGATGGGATTTCACCATGTTGCTCAGACTGGTCTCGAACTTCTGGGCTCAAGTGATCCAGCTGCCTTGGCCTCCCAAAGTGGGATTTTCTTAACCAGTAATTGGTCCCCATTATTTGCAGCCAAGTATTATAATTATAATCATTAAATCCTGCTTATCAAAGTTACTTTTAGAACTATTTATGGTCATTCTCTGGCTATGAACAGACTGTCAGTGTGTTCCTGGACCAAACTGAGGGTCGGGCTGCTATTTTTCGCAGCCCAATAACGAGATGCAGATGAACTGGGGAAGAAGAGAGTTTTTATTTCTGTAACCCATTACAGGGAGAAGACCTGGAAATTATCATCAGACCAACTCAAAATTACAAAGTTTTCCAGAACTGATATACCTTCTAAGCTGTATGTCTACATGCAAGTATGCATTCATCTAAAGACATATGTGATTAACTTCTTTTAATCTGTAACTAAGGTCTGAGTCCTGAAGAGCTTTCCCTGGAGCCTCAGTAAATTTACTTAATCTAAATGGGTCCAGGTGCTGTGGTGATTACCCTTATCTTGCCTCCTGCTAAATCACAGAGGTTTGGGGAGTTCTTTCAGACCCCCAATAAACTTGTTTGTGGAGGCCTGGGGAGTTTCTTCTGACCCACAATAAAACTTGTTTATCCCTAAATGGGTCCTAGTAAGAATTCCTTCATTATTTTGTCATGCTTTAAGGCCCAAGAATGGCCTA